AACCTCTTCTTTGATTTCGACAATGTTGATAAGCTCTTTTCTGAGCTGAGCGCAATTCCAACGAGATTCTGCCCCTCGCTCTTTCTCTACTAGTTTAGAGACAATAGAGCGGGGCAACTTGGACTTGATGGCTGTCGATATAAATGGAGATTGATCGACAATATTGAAAGCTTCCAACTGACGGCAAATTCGTTCAATCGAATCTACGAAAGATCGAATTGAATGGCAGGACTCATTTGGCGGGCTCAGATTCATGAGCTCCGACTCTAGTGCTTCAGTGATGGCTCGATTATCGCCATATCGTGATTTGAGCAAATCCAATGCTCTCGTGTAATTCTCGTTGGATAAAATGAATCCCGCAACTAAATCTTTAGCGGGACCTTGGAGGAGGGTGAGTAAATAACTCATTTTCCTAACATTGTCCATTTGGCGTTGGTCGATGTTGATTGAAAATAATTGCCAGAAAGCTGGCCATTTCTTCGGATCTCCATTGAATGGCTCCATTTTGAGCTCTGGTAAACGTGTGTCTGGTAATAAAGGAGTGTCCTTGACCTTGTTTTCTCCAATGCTTTGTTCTTCTTGAGTTCGACTTTGAATGCGTTGTGACTCTCGTGTTCGTTCACTACGCTCACTAGCCTCTGTAATTCTTTCCTCCATTTCCAAAAGGAGGAAGTCTAACTCGCCTATAATTCCTCGGGCCTGTTCTGCGAAGTCCATGAAATGGACCCACACTTGTCCTTCCTGTACATTAGGAGGAAACGTATTGTACAGCTGCTCCTCAGCTTCCAAATCTCCTCCATCCAGGAGATCAATAAATCCTGTCCACTCGTGATCGAGAGTTTCTATTCGCTCAAGTGTGCGAATCAACTGATGTCTTTCAGCCCGGAGGCGTGCCGGGTTTTGTGCTTCTTGTTCATTACCCAAAAGGGTGGTTGCCGCGATAATATGATCCTTGAGGGCTCTCAGAGCTAGCCCAATTTTCCTTCGAATATGTCCTGAAGATGGCATTGTGATAAGCGATTATAATAATCTGCTTAAAAGCGTTGGACTAGCTAATTTAGTCCAAAAACGCAAAAGCTTAAGGAACTTGTGCCTTTAAGCTAAAAAAATAAACTCGCTGAAGACTGACTATCAAAGTCAGAAAATTGATGAAAATATGAGAAGAGAGCACTTTTGGTATATTTTGTGCTAAATTGATGTTTACCGCGACTGGTAAGTGGCAGCACAAAGTTCTCTTCTCAAAAGAGAAAAATAAACGCAGATGTGTGAAAAATGTAAATAAACACTAAAAATGTAAAGTCAGTCGCTCTGACTTAACCGTGTAATTGGCCGACGGGTTGGCCAAAACAAAAGAAATGACTTGCTCACAGAGCGAAAAGTCAGTGTTCTTTAAACTCGTGTTGCCGCGCTCTAAAATGCGCCAATCGTGTGAATGGCCAAAGTTATGGCCAAACAAAAGAAAAGGCTTTCGTGTCCCTTTTCTTCTCAAAAAATGTGCAAAAATGCACCAACTTGTAAACTTGTTGATTGGCCGATGATTTGGCCAAATAAATTCCTTTCTTGTTTTTCGTGTAAAATTGTGCAAAAATGTGCACAACTGATGAAATGTGTTAAGACCTAAGTTTTGGTAAACAAAGGAATGACTTCTTTCAAGAAAAATGTGCAAAATAAGCACAAAAAAATTGCTAGCAAAGAGCAAAGATTGAAATTGTAGAAAAGGGGATGAGCGGGTTTGTTCGCGGAAAAAACTGCGTCCTTCAAGGAGCGTGAATGTATGTCGGTCCGCTTGAGGGATCACGACTTTGCGCACTTTGTTGTGCGGGCTTGTGGGGTAAGGCTGTGAATCGGATAGTTTCCGACTTAAGGATTACTCTCCAGGAGTAATAGATGATGAACTCGTGAACTGCTGACTTGTGAGAAGATAAATGTTGACTTACTCTCCAAGAGTAAGTATTCGTGTGCTGCTGGCTGATGAGCAGATAACGGTTGGCTCTGGTGGCCAAAACCGCGTGTTCAGGATGAGAACACAAAATTTAGCCTAAAAAGGCAGACGTGTTGATTGGCACAATTGCCTGAAGAAACGGGGGCAGTGCGATTGGACTGCGGACCCGTACGGGGCTCCAATTTTTATATGTGCCCAAAAGCCCTTTCGGGTGGACACACAATTTGTACGGCCTCCGGCTATGGGAGGGACGGACGCTTATAAAGGGAGGACAGAGAACTCAAAAGTTCTCTTAAACTTATAAGCGATGATGACGACGACAGCCTACCCAAAATCCCCAAAAATACACACACCAAAGAAGAAAAGATTTATTTAATTAACAAATAAATTTAGCGGTCCGATAACAGCTCGGGATCCGCGGTGTGAATAAATTGGTGATTAAAATATGTGGTGAAAATGCGAACAAATAATTTAAGTTAGTGCTCCGCTCTCCTGCTCCCAGTTGAAGGGAGAAAAGTTGGTTTAATTGATTGGGTTTAAAGGAATTAGAAAATTATAAGATTTTGAGAGAAGTTGGAAATTGAAAGAAGGATTGAAAGAAGTGATTTTAGGGACAGCCGAGCGCTAACTTGACAGCCAAAAGTAGGCGTGGTTAAACAAAATAAATTGTGGGCGGTAAATAAAAATAGTACGTAAATATAACAATGCGAGAGGAATGGGAAAATAGTGTAGGGCTTATGCCCTTTTGGGCACAGGAAATTTTTTAATTTTTCCAATACGTGGTGCTACAAGGAGGAAAAACATCTCAAAGCCGAAAAGTGGGAGATTGTGGACAATAATTACCAGAACAACACCAACGATAAAAACTTCACCCATCTCTTCACTTTCAACATTATGCCAATAAAAGCGATGCGTCAAAGTATGCAAAACCTTTTGGGAGGCTGTAAGAAAAATCCAGCAGAACCAGGCTGTGATAAGGACGCAACATTGTTGAAATGTGACAATATAAGCATTAAATTTGTAAGGAAATTTCCTCTTCCCTCATAAAATAAAAATATTTTAAGGACAAAGAACACTTCAAAATTCTTGTGCCGGAAGTTCAAGTCGCAAAAAATGGCACTTCAACAGATGCCAACGAAACTTTGGATGTTTCAACAACCCAATCTCTAAAAATCATCACTACAGAAGAGGTAGACACTACTAGTGATGAAGTAGAAGTTACAAGGATTCCAACTGCTACAGAGTCTTCAGGAATGTCTAAAATTATCATTGTTGTGATTATTTGTGGCGTTATAGTTTTGTGAGTTTTCTCAGATAAAATTCGCATCTATTTTAAATTTTCAGGTGTTTGACAAGTTTTGTTTGCGTTCTGATTTGTATTCTGTTTCGAGGAGAAAAAGAAGAAGAAAAAGAAAATGAAGGCACTAAATACAGTCAGGGCACTAATGTACGTTCAACTCAATCAACTACAAATAAACCTACAAAGGACTCCAATGTTGACGTTGAAATGCCTTCCCATGTATCTGGAAAAGAACAGAAGGGAGAAGAAAAACATTTTAATGATGCTTCTACAGTCGTCGAAACTCAATATCAAGACTTTAACGATGTTAACTCTGTTGTGGCTACACAAATGGAACAACCGGAAGAAGCTTCTAACCTCAAAACTTGTATTGCACTTCCTGATACTTCTGTAGGTACGAAAACTTGTGTTGGAGTTCCTGATACTTTTCTCGACACAAAAACTTGTATTGAAGTAAAGCACGACAACGATTTTTCTGTAAAATCTGGCAAGACTGTTCCTGATGCTTTGGTTAGCACAAATACTGTTGATGAGGACCTCGTTGGGAAAGAAGATCCGCTTATTCATAATACACAATCTGACGTTGAAATTACTGATAGTGTTAATGAAGGGTAATAAAGAAGTGGAAGAATAATATATAAATTATTAGATGTATTTTTGTTGTTGTTATTTTTTGTTGATATTGTTGTTATTTGTTGTATTTTATTAAGTTAATACGTAAATAAATTTTGGAATTTTGAATTTAATCAGCTCTTTTCTTCCTCATTTTGACTTTATTCGCTTACGGATCCAATCAGTTAAAAAATAATTAGCATATGTTTTGTCTCCATTCATAAATAAATAGAATTAGAGTAAGTCGAGTACCGAGTAATTGGGGGAAACCCGAGTTCGAGTAATGGGAGTTTGAAAACCCATATTTCGAGTACGATTAAATCGAGTATTAAAACAAAAAAATCCGAGCGATCGAGTCGAGTATACTCGAATCCGCTCGAACTCGTCTTACTCTAATTAGAATGAATGCAATAAATTACGGTAATGTAAATATAAAAAAATGCAAAAATCTTTCTAGGTTTTAACGTAAATTTTGTATGTGTCTAAAAATGCGAATTTTCAATATTCAATTCTAATATGAACACTGAAAACATACTATAAAAGCTTAACATTCTACCAAATCATTCTCCAATTGCTACATAGATCAACGTGCTTTTCTTCTAAATCAACGTCAATTCAGTCGGGATTCGAGTTTTCATTTTAAATACACTTCAAATGGTCTCTGCCTCCTCCATCGTTCTGTGCATTTCAATTCCTCTGGTTTTCGGATTTGTTGTTCAATGTGAAGAAGTCGGACTTGGCAAGCATGTGTTGGTTAACGAGACAATTATTGAGCTCAAGAACAATACGAGGATTGCCGAAAACGACACGGATCTTGAACAATACAGGAAGCTGGAGGGCGCTTGTGATGTCACTTTGGACGACGATGGAAATATGCAAATATTTTTACATTAATTTATTTAAATCCCCTCATTTAACAGCATTCTTTCGTACTCCAAAAATTCCAGCACGACTGAGTTTGGCTGTTCTGTTGATTTGGTTACAAAGAATGAAGGTCAAATCTTATTGGAATTTGGTATCTCACACTCTGGCAATCTATCCGATTGTGTCACGAAAGATAATCTGGTCCCAGATAATTTGTAAATAATTTTGATTTACAAAATAAAATTTATTTAATTTAGCATATCGTTCTCCTACAGCAATAAAGGAAATGAATTCGAAGAACTGAAAGAGGGACCGAAAACATGGAATAGTACCAGTGATTGTAGCAGTGAAGAGGGTGCAAAAATATGCAAAAGGAAAAATGATTGTTGGCATACAACAGCCTTCTACTCTATTGGGTGGATGGACACATTGTATAAAGGATCGAGAGTTCCTAGTTACTTCATTCAGCTAGGTAGCGAAATTTCTAAAAATTTTTCTAAACTTAATTTAAACGTAGTTGGGGACGAAAACAAGCAAAAGTTCATGCAAATTAAGAATCCTAGTATGCAAAAAGCGTCATTCAAGCTTATAATTAGAGGGCTAGAATTCCGGTATGCTTCAGTCAGCGAAGAAGAAAAATTTTTTAATTTACCAACAAAGTGCTATAAGAAGGAAAAACTTGGCAAGGCTGAAGAATGGAAGATTTTTGACAATAATTATATCAACAACAATCAAAACTTCACCCATCTCTTCACTTTCCATATTATGCCAATAAAAGCAATGCGACAAAGTATTCAGAATTCTTGGGCAAGTTGTAAAATAAATGGGACAAACCCAGGATGTAATAAAGAGGCAACATTGTTGAAATGTGACAAAATGTTTATTCGATTTGTAAGGACATGTTTCCTCCTTTCTTATAAAATAAAAATATTTTTAGGACAAAGAACACTTCAAAATTCTTGTTCCGGATGTTATTGAGAGTTCAACACTTGGAAGTTCAATACTTGAGAGCAAAACTTTGGAATTTTCTACAACCCAAAATATTGACAAAACTGATAAGGAAGACACTACTACTGATGATGATGTGGAGATTACAAGGATTACAACCTCTACCAAGCCTTCAGGAATGTCCACAACTACCATTGTTTTGATTATTTGTGGCGTTGTAGTTTTGTGAGTATTCTTGGATAACATTTACCTTGTCTACTGTAATAATTTTTCAGAATTTTTGCAAGCATTGTTTGTTTTCTGATTTGTATTTTGTTTCGGAAAGAGGATAAAAAAGAAGAAGAAAACAAACAAATTATGCAAGATGAAAGTCAAGGCAGTTATCTACGTTCAACTCAATCAACTACAAAAAATTCTTTAAAAGACTCCAATGTTGGTGTTGAAATGCCCCCTCCTTCTGCTGTTGAAGATGAAGAACAAAAAGAAGAAAAACATTTTAATGATGCTTCTACAGTCGTCGAAACTCAATATCACCAAGATTTCAATGATGTCGACACTGTTATGGATACACAAATCGAGCCGGGAGAAGCTTCTAGTTTCAAAATTGGAGTTGCGGTTCCTGATACTGTCGTTGATGCAAACGGCGTTGGAGTTCCTAAAATATATAAAGATGAATAAAAATGTGAAAGAATAATCTCATAGATAAATATATTAGGTCGGGTCATAATTAGTGTCGCTTTTTTAATTTGGGTTTTTTTTGATTTTTAAAATTAACCTTTCAGAGAAATTTTTTTATTTTTATTACGAATCATCTGTTAGACTATGTTCTAAAGGATACCAACATTTGAGAATTTTTGGTTAGGTATTCAGGGAGTTCTGATCGAAAATATCAAAATTCCAGAAATCAACGAAAATCAAAATTTCTCAAGTATATGTGATCATAATTTTTAGTGTGATATATCATTTGAAAGCCCTTCAAAATCTCTATCCGACGAGCACAATTTCGAATTTTTATTAAGAAAGGTCTATATTTTCGAAAAAGTCGAAATTCGAATTCCGGGGTTTGACAAGATTTACAGACTTTATATTTCGGATTCAGTATAAGCCCTATATGTTATTTAAAAAACCGTTTAGATCATCCTGATCGGAGGATTTTACGCTGAGTTATAAGAAAACGTTTTTTGGGGGGATGTCGTGTCGTTTGTTTCAATTGTTTAATGTGAGTACGCGCGTTATTTGATTTGCCTTCCTTAAGCGCAGACCGCGTTTTTTCTGTCAAGCGTTCTGTATGTATAGAGCAGATATCCCTCGACAATTAAGAAGAAGAAATATCGTGATTTCATCTAAACCGGTCGAGCAGGACCGTTATGTTTAATGACAGCCTTCTCCTTCAACCATGTTTGCTTCAGAGAGGTATACGGGCTTCCTAGTATAGCCCGAACCCTATTCTTTGCTGTTTAGGATAGAAACGATCCCATTTACTAGATTATTATGATTTTTTGTTTCTTGTGTTTCATTTTTGGTAATTTAAAATTTATGGTGCAAATGCTTGAGAATTTCACTACGAGGTAGTGAAGTTCAAAAAATCATAACTTTATGAATATCACCCATATATATCTAAACGTGGTATCAAAATAAAGAGTAGATTCTGATCTTTAAATTAGTTAATAAGAAAAAAGAATATTTACAAAATAACACCCCTAAAAATTTAACCGAAAAAAAGCGACACTAATTATGACCCGACCTAATATATTTTTGATACCTTTTTTGATGATTTGTTTTACATATATTCAATCGAAACTGCGATTTTTCTGTAAACAGAATCCCGGATGTTTATTTGATAAAATGTTTTATTTCATTTTTGCCTATATAAAAAATTGTAAATTTAGATTTTGTATTCTCCTTGTTTCTTCCCAAATTTAACTTTATTTGACTGTCTTATCCAAACGAGCGATAAAACTGGCCTAATTTAAATTTCATTTTTATTACCACTAAAAAGTGCAAATCGAAGATAATCGTTCAATGTTTAAATGGCTTAATTTAAGAAAAATAGAATCCATAACTTTTTGTTTTAAGCTTAACTATGATTTGAGTGTAGATATGAAAGGAAAATGTGAAAAATAAGGAAATAATTAATCTTCCTTTTAATTTCAAACTGATTGAGAGCTAAAAATATTTTTTCTGCTTGTTTCTCAACGCTTTAAATTCCAGAAAAAATTCGGTTTCTTAACTTTACAAATTTTTGTAATTTGTCTAAAATTGAAATTTTTAATTTATATTTAAAAATATCATTCAATAATTTCCAAATTTAATTATATTTAATTTACTTAAAATAACCTTTCCCTGAACATCTAAATATTTTATTCTTTTTTTAAATTTTTATTTTGTGTCACAAATTATGCTTATACCCACAATAATTGGAAAAACTTTTTTCTCCTTTTCGTTACCACGGTGACCATTTAAATATGTAAAACTAAAATAATGGCAGAAAGTCATTGTTAGGGACAAATTTTAAAAATATTACTTTCTCTACCTTAAAATAATTTTTTTTCTTTTAAAGGTTTTCTTATTGAAAGGAACAGATTTTTAAAAGATAATTAATTTCACATAAATTTCAATTTACCTCAAATAAACTTTTGACACTTTTTAAATATATTTTATTTGTATTTTATATTTTATTTGTGTCTATTTAAATTAATTTAAATTACGTGGATTAAATTAAAAATTAAAAAAGTGAATAAATTTAATAATTTACCTCAACATTTCCGGTATATAAATGTTAAGATTTAATTTAGAATATTTTACTTTATTAAAAAAATTTTCTTTTATTTTTAATTATGTATATAATATTCTCTAAATTATTAAAAATCAAAAAATCATCAAAGAAGCCAACAAAAATATTTTTTAAATATTGTTAACATATTAAATTTAATGGTTAATTACCGTTTAGTTTAATTAAAATTTAATGTCAAAAAATAATTATTTCGTTCATTACCCAAAAATATGTGTTCCCAAAGACTTAAAAAATTACTGTTCATGAGGGCAATTTAAAAAGCGAGAAGGGAAATCGGAGAGGGCCTATATTCAAAAAAATGATTTTTTTGTTTCTGGTTAATAATTCTAGTATTTTAATAAAATTATTAAAAGAAATTTAAATTTCTATTAACTAAAAATTTACTATTTTAAATATTTCTCTTTGTTTATTTCATTATTTATTTTTATTTTGAAATACACACTTCACTATAGAAACGAATAGCGTGTTTAATTCCTCATTTAAAAATAATTAAAGAATCAAAAAATTTGTTATTTAAGTGCCATTCTGTGCCAAGAAAATTTTTTTAAATTGTTTATTTGGGTTAAAATGAATTTAATAAAATAATACTTTATTTAATTTTAAATTTAATTTTTCGTGTTACTTTTAAGAGTAATTTAATGAGTCTGGCAGTTCAAGCTTTCCAATTAATTTTGATTATTTTTCTTCTCAGCCCAGACACAATTATATTTTATATTTTGTGTCCATTAATATTAGCACGTTAATTTATATTTAATTTCCGTAGGTATATATAATTTTTAAAAATTTATTTAATTAGCTAGTCATATATACATATGTATAGTACATCAAGTCCAAGTTTAAAATAGGGTTTGACCCCGAACGTTCGGGGGCGGGTATGTCGGGGTACGGGGTTTTCGAATTGTTTCGGGGCGGGGTTCGGGTCGGGGGAGCAAAATATGGTCGGGGTTCGGGTCGGGGTACGGGGGTTTACTGAAAAAATTTTTTAAAGAAAAAATGTTCTAAATATAAGCCATAAGCCTTTCATTATTTTTTCTCATTTCTCCATTATTAAAGTATTCCCCATTAATATTTTTTCGTTCATTAATTTTATTTTCTTCTCATTATTTTTTGCCAGATTATGAACGAAAACATAACAACAACAACCAACAACAAAAATATTTACTTTAACGATACTTTAAATTCAACTTTAAATACCGGCCTAGATTTATTAACAGCTTTACCTATTCAATTTGATTTTTATAACACAAATATGGTATCCATTCCAGAGAGAATTTCAACTACAGGACTTTCTACAGCCATCTCTATTTTAATGGGGGTTATTGTTATAGCTTCGTTTTTATTAAATATGGCAGTTTTTGTTACGATTTTGACTTGGTAATAATTAATTAAAGAAATAAAAAAAGAATGGGTTATTTGTAACATCAAGTTCACCTTATTATTAACAGCTTGTTAAAATAAATTGTTAATAATTAATCTTTAATAAACAAAATTCTATTATATATATTAAACTTGCTCCTTCTAATCTGAAAATATTTTTGAGAATGATTTTCTATACCTTTAAATCTCCTCATTATAATTCAACCTTTTCTGATTAAATAGAAAGCTGATCAAAATACCTATAGAGTGCATTATAATTCAAGACATTAGAAAAATAAATTGATAATTAATTTTAATAATTTTTATAGTTACAAATTACGTTCATCTCTACTTAATTTGATGTTTTGTATGTTATCTTTGTAAGTCTAATGATTTTAATTTTAATAATTTCAATTGATAATTATTTTAAATTTTAGATTAAATTTACTGGATGTTTCCCTCATCTCATTTGTAGCACTCATTTGTGTAGCTAATGGTTAGAAATAAAATTTTAAAATTTACATTTTAAATTTAAATTATTTTAATATTCCAAACTAATTTTGATAACTAATTAAATATTCAAAGGTGGTATTTGGACGTTTGGTAGAACAATTTGCCGCGTGAATGCTTTTGCGCAACAGGTGTTTATTTTTTGATTAATTAAAAAAATTTTTTTGGCATTAATAAACAGATGGAAAAAGTTTTTAGATAGATCTTGGTTAATAAAATTTCTAAAAATAGAGAAAAAGTTTATAAATTAGATAAATTAGAAAAAAACAATGATAAAAAATATAAAGGGATCTAAATTATAAAATTGGTTATTTGAAATAATACTATAGCATTTTTGGTATGATTGGAAATTTATGTTAATGTAAGAATTTGTAGTTGCATTTAGAAAAGAATTCGTGGGCATATACCTATGTAAATATCATAAAGATGATCCAACTAATAGGGTTTTCATTGAAGATAAAGAAATAGAATACGTGAACCTTATAACCACTCTAAGGGACCAAAGAAAACTCTTACATAACAAGCTGTTCATCAAAACGATATTTATGTCTAATTTAATTCTTTTCTAGTCTCTTTTCCTCGCAAATCTACTTACACTAACACTAATTGCAATGGAGAGAGCCCTAACTCTGATACGACGACATTTAGTTACTCGCAAAATATTTGGATCTTTAGCCATTCTTTTTATGATAATTCCGATTTGTTTTGCGACTCCATTGTTGATTCCAGGCTTTCAAGTCTCTGTCTTTCCCTACCGATATTTATGTGCTATTGGAAGGTTTCTCTTGAAAATTTTTTTTAAATAATAACGATATTAATTGGTTCTATACAAATTATAATTATTATTGTATACAAGAATGCCTGCCGAAACGGATTTAAAAAATAAGGAAAACTAAATTAAATCTAAAAAACAAAAGGCAAAATAAGAAGCTTGCGCATTATCGTATAAGGGTTACCAGAAAGAAATTGGGCACATAATTTACATCATAACTTTATCCAAATTAGAGATAATGAAATCAAATATAGCTTAAATTATAGAGAACTAAATAGGGAATAAGAATTAATTTTAAATAATTAGCTAATTTTCATATAAAATTTTTTATTGCCTTTAAATATTTCAGTGGTTCTCCAGTGCTATATTCTCTTGCACAATTGCTTGTATATGGGGTATATTTTTAATGATTTAAATTAAAAAAATTTGTCAACTACCGTCATAACGCTCCTATTATAAACTGTTCTAAATATTTTTTCTTCTCGAGAACTAAAAAAATAATTCGTACCCTCAGGGCACTTTTAACAGTTGTTTCTGAACTTTATTTAAAAAGTACTAAAAAATTATTTTTAAAGGGTTGCATTTTTGTTCTCCTCATATGCTTCGGGTCCATAATTAAACAAAAACGAATTGTTCGTTCACTCCCAGCAAAACCAGAACAATACGGAGCTTTTATTTTGGAAAACCGAATTTTGGATGAACACATGCAATTGAGTAGACTGTTCTTTTGGTTGGTATTTGAATATGCAGTCATTCAGGGACCTTATATTTGCTTGGATTTTTTTGTTCAGGTATAGAAATAATTGTTTTTTAAAAGTGTGAAAAATTAATTAAAAAATTTTTAATCAACAAATTGTTTTAAAAATTTATATGTATAAAATAACACAAATCTTTATTATAAGAGATGTTTCAAAACAAAAAAATCTTCGAAAATCGAAAGAAATCCAAAAATATCGAAAATTGAAAATATTTTTTAAAATCTTCGAAATCTAAAATATCACAAAATTTCAAAAATCAAAAGGAAAAAACCTCGAAAATCGGAAATCGAAATTTCGAAACAACACTGTTTATTATAGGACTTAAAATGAAATTAAATAATTTTTAAAAATTATTTTTAAATAATTAAAGCAATATTTTCTTAATTTTTACTTATTTTAAAAAATCGGATATCCACCAAGTCAAAATTTAAAGAAAAATTCTGATAACATAATTGAAAATTAATGATAATTAAATATTAAAACTCCACTGATCTTAAATCATTTATTAAGGGAGCTCGGCCGAATTCCCGTTCCAAAAATTAATTTTCTTCTAAACCCTGCTTCCCTGCAACTTATTTTTCCTCAAATAAAATAAAAAATATAATTTTATATATTGTGTATTTATTTCATTTTAATTACTCTTTCTCCTCAATAATTTTAATATTTCCAGATCCGCAACAGCATTGAAGTTCAACAAAGTTTTGCACAATTTACAGGCTCTACAACCTCCAAAGATGTAGATACACTTGTTACCATCATTAAAATCTTCCATCCTTTGATTGTGCCAACTATGGTTTTGAAAATAGATTTTTTTTCACAAAATTTTATTTTTCAGATTCTCGTTTCCTGTAATAATATTTGGACACAATTAGTGGATAAAATATGTTGCCGCTTTAATAAATCTGTTGTGGGGGCTTTTAATTCAATGGCTGTTGGAGGGGCGAATAACAACAACCCTTCTTTTGCACAACTATTAAGTGGGGCAAATGGAAATGCTAATAATAATGGTCTAGTTAATTAAAAAAATTCTAAAATACGTACATTTGGGGAGAAATAAATAGAAAATTTGTTGAATTGTTTAATTTACTAATCCCACCCTTGTATTAGAAAATTTATTTTTCAAGTAGGATGAGGTTTTAATTTCTCAATAAAGAGTCGACTGCTGCTTCTACAAGTTTTATGGGGTTTTGAAGATAGACAACAAGGTCCTCCCCCGTTCCCCAGGGAATTCCTTTCCTGGAGATCCTCTAAGTTGACAATGTCGTCTTCCAAACCGCAAACAAAGACAAGACCTATTTTTATTTCATTCTTAAGCCTCCATCCGATATTTTCTAATATTTTTATATAAACCGATGCATTCTTAAACATGTCCTTCTAGTTAATCAACACCCCTCAATTTTCAGACTTTGCCAACAATCCCCATGTCATGACTCTTTACGCTACTCCAAACGGTGATTTACAGTTGCGCCTACCAAATGCCACAGTAATAACCCAACCACCTGCACAAATGGTTCAAAGCATTAGAAATAATGAAGAAAATGAGGAATTTAATGAAAGGATTATTTACAGAAAAAATAAAAATGTTTTTCAACATCCATCAACACAAATATGCACTGATACAGAATGCTCTAGTAGTGATTGCAACGTATATAATAATGGAAATAATTTGAATAGAAATGAGAAGAATAATAAAGGAAAAAATTTAAATTTTGAAAAATTAGGGAAGAAGAAGGGGAATCGGAGGGAATTAGCAAGAATAAACTAAGGGCTAATCAAAAGAAGATTTCTATGAACAATAAAGAAAATACAACGAAAATTCCTAAAAGGCAACCTTCTGCTAGAAGAAAACCTTTACAACAACAAAAGAGAATTGTTGTCACTAAACGGCAACAATTGACAAATTATTAAATTTTTGGGATAGTTGGACAGATTTTTGTCAATTTTTAATCAAGAAATTTATTTATATTTGAATTTTCTTTCATTTATACAATCAACGAGTTGTAAATTTAATTGTTTTTCTATTTTTTATTAAAAAGATTTTCACTGTTAAATTTCCACTGTACCTCCTACAATTCTAAATTTACACGCTTTTTTTTAAATTCATGACCGCGGGCAACTGCCGATATCCTATCGATACCCTCCAAATTACTATCACTTCAAATCCTATACATAACACAAAATAGATATGACACGGGCTCAAATGGATTCTTATTCACTATTATTTGATTTTTGTCTAATATTTTTAACAGATTTAGGCCCGAAAAAGGACTCGAACGACCCGGTTCGATGAAATTAAGAGCCGAATGAAATTACTAAAACGTAGGCCCGATTCAAAAACCCTATCCCTACTACTAATGGAGCACAACATTTTCCTGTTTGACTTATACAGATTGGGCGAACTTCGAATTTCATACCTCTTGTTGCATCTTATGTATTAAAAATAAGAAGTATCCAAATCACGGCTGGGCGCAATTGAAAAAAAAATATATATTGAATAATTGAATTAAATAATTAAACAAAAAATAAAAGAAACTTTTTAGTAACAAAATTTGTTTCTATTTTGTATCTTCTATATTTGTTTTTAAACCTCCTCATGATTCATTAGGGCCAAAAATAATGAATTAATTAAAAAAATATTTAGAGATGAAATTTTTACTCTTTTTAGATTTATTTATGGATATATTCAAATTTATAAAAATTGTTTATTTTTTTAGCCAAATATTAGCGTAAAAAGCTGTTAATTTTCTTCCTTTTTTGTGTTTAATTTGTTCTGTTGCTCATTTTTATTATTCTTCTTATTTTGTGTCTGAAAGCGAATTTTGGAATATAAATAATCGTTCGATTTATTCATAAATATTTATTTATTTATATTTTAAACTAAAGTTGGCTTTTTCCCAATCTCGGTTTCGGATCGGGCAGTCTCGGGCCTCGTGAACCTCGTCTTAGTCCTTGCCTGAACGTTGCCGAGGCTGAGAGTTAAAAACCTCGATTATTCTCGGATTCGGCCCAAATTTGCCTCTTAATCTTAGCTTTTTTTTTAAAAACTTCACCATCTTTATTTTACTCTAACTATCCAAATTCTATTTCTGCTTGATTTTCTAAGAAGGATCATTTTTGACGCCTATCCCCGTGGTTACTAAGGAAAATTCTAATATCGTATTTACTCGATTAATTCCCCTGTGGAATTATTTTTTCAACCCATCCGTGGCATGGGGAATTATTCAAGAGAGGGAAATTATTCGAGTTTTGAAATTTGAACGTGTACTCGGGTAGTTGGAGGAGGGGGATTATTGTTTCAACTCAGCCGTAGCAGGGGGAATTATTCGAGAGGGGGGAATTATTTGAGGGAGGGGAATTAATCGAGTAAATACGGTAATTTTAAAATTCAAATTATATTTACTAGAGATGTGCGAGACCGAAATTTTTCCAAGACTCAAGACTCAAGACCCAAGACAAAATTTTTTCCAAGACCAAGACACAAGACCAAGACCAAAACTCCAAGACTCAAGACCAAAAATCAAGACCAAATTTTTAAATCCCATAGGTCAAATTTTTGGTTTATTTTTTGTTATTTTGATACGATCACAGTCAACTTCAGCACAATTATCTATAATTTCGAAAAATTTATGCGAAATTCAAAGAATTTCGGGGAATTTATTCTGTGGAAAATCAATAAAATAGGTTATTATTTCAGAGGGTTTGGGTGGATTAACGGGATATTAGTGATATCAAAAGATTAAGAGGGATAGCCGTGGGATTTAGCGCCGCAGGCGAAAATTTTGAGGATTATGAAAGCAAAGAAGCCAAAAATCTTCCTTTTCCTGCGCCGCAGGCAAAAATTTTGAAAATTTTGGAAGGCCGTAGGCCAAAAAAATTCACATTTTCAGCGCCGCAGGCGAAAATTTTTTGAATTTTGGAGCTCAAGAAGCCAGATTTCTTCCATTTTCTGCGCCGCAGGCGAAAATTTTGAGGATTTTGGATGGCCAAGCACTAGGTCCAAAAAGGCCAAAAAACCAAGACCAAAAAATAAAACCAAGACAAGACCAAGACAAACACCCCAAGACCAAGACCAAGACCGAAAAAAAACCAAGAAAAGTCTTGGTTCCAAGACCAAGAGTCTCGCACATCTCTAATATTTACTTTACTTTCAAATTATAATTAACCGAATTTAAGGAACAGCCTTTGCTCTTATCTTTATTCCACGAGTAATTAAGAGACGTTTAAACATTTAAAATTTTAAGATAAATTTAAAAATTCAATACAAAATAATGTCTTCAATAAATATTTATTGCCTTCTTTTTATCTTCTCTACTTTTTTAATATTTGAAGTTAAAAATGAGAAATGCATTCCACTTTTTGGAGAAAATTGTATAGCAAAGGTACTTCAGGGAAGCTGTTGTGGAACTTTAAGTTGTTCACGTACTTTAGCCGCTAACAGTAACCGTGCAAGATATCAATGTCTTCAACAACCTTGCAAAACAGGAACGTGTAATAAAAATGATGATAGATGTTGTTATGGCATGAGATGTATAACTGAACAATGTAAATATTGTCGACTAAAAAATCAACCCTGCGATGGTAAAGACAATTTTTGTTGTCTTGGGGACTGCGTAAATGGGATATGTACAAAATAAATGGGGAACAGTGCATGAATGGGAAATGTTCAAACAAAAAAACTGAATATTACAAAAAAATGATTGCAATATTGGTACTTTATGGATATGTCACCCCCCTCCTATTTTGAGTCTCGGAGTTTTCCTTAAACGTAGAAAATGGTCAGATTTATTTTTTCTCCATGTCAATCATTTTTCTTTCTTCAAGCAGAATAAGTGAAATGTGGTAAATGTAGAAACAAAATGGGTGAAATGTAAGTACAAAATATGTGAAAAAGCAAAATAAAACAAACAAAATACTTGAGAAGAAAAAAATGAGTGACATGGAGAAGAAAATAATCTCTGACCATTTTCTACGTTTAAGGAAAACTCTGAGACTCAAAATAGGAGGGGGGTGATATATCCATAAAGTACCGCAATATTTGTGAAATTCTTTTATCTTTTCTTAACTTTTAACTCTTTTATTCTTTGATAATTTCCTTTCTTTTTTCTCAATCTAAATAAGAATAAATGTTAAATATAATTTAATTGAGTGAATAATACAAATCTGATTTAAAAATTAAATTTATAAAAAAATCCTTACAAAAAATAGAAAAAAATGAAAAAAACTTCTGCTTTATAAAAATTCATTTTAATGAAAATATTTTTTGATAAATAATTAGATAAGAAAATATGTATAGATAAGAATAGTTGAGCAAATTTAATTTTTTATGTTAAATTCTAAAATTATGTTTAATTGAAACTTTACTTAATTTAATGAGGGTAATTATTAAAGATTTGAATTATTGTTTTTAATTCTTTTATAATTTGATTAATTTAGCCTGGAATTTTACTGTTTGTGATTGATTAACAGTGAATTTGACAGTAAATAAGATGTTAGTAAAATTTACATTGCCAAGTTTTCTGCCGAAGAAGCCAAAAAATATTTTTCTTTAGATCTAAGTCAAAGAAATATCGACGGAAAAATGTGATGGAAAGGTTAGGACCGGTTTGGAACCGGTTCTGGAACCAATTCCTAAGTTATATTATTCGATGAAAATTCTGTTGATGAAAATCACGCAATTGGCTTTCAAATATTAAAATTCACAAAATCTTCGCCTGCGGCGCTGAAAAGGAAAGACGTATTGGTGTAATGGAGGTGTAATGGAGGATTTGGATTGATTAAACAGCTTGGTGTTCTATTACCCGAGTAAGAGAACCTGATAAATTTACCAAGTTATCCTACCCGCTTTTTTTGAATACCGCCCCGGGTCCGCAGATTATTTTGTTTCAAGTTGTTTATTTCACATTGTCTTAATTTATTTAATTTTCCAATTTCTTCCAAAAATTATTTTAAATCATTTCCTATTTTAAATATTATTTAATAATCTTTTATGTAAATCCCCTTTTTTTATTTTTGTATTAAATTTAATAAAAATAAGTTTTTTCTTTCTTTTAATTGTTTTAAGGATTAAGAGGCTCCCTTCTCCCTTCTATTGTGCAATGCTCTAAACATTTTTAAATTTTACAAACCTTTTTGGAGTGACCGGTGGTTTTGGAGCTGCGATATTTATATTTCCTTTCTCCAAAGTTGTCATGGCGATTGGAAATATTTTAAAGAGAAAAAGAAAATTTTAAAAGGGGTGGACAATAATAAGAAGTAAAAACGGCCCTTTCTTTCCTTTTGTTTGACCAACAATAGTCACGCCTTTTGGAGGGAAAACAAAAGTAATAAGTATAGATTATTACAGCTTTAAGTTAAATGTGTAAATTTAAACTTTGAAAATTCTCGAGCTTTGCAATTTTTTAATTTTCAATACATACTTTAAAGAAGCGAGGGGCGGGGGGGGGTATCAAAAAATATTTTCTCGTTTTTTTTTTCTAATCTAATTATCTTTCGAGTTCAGATAATTTAAAAATACCTTTTCAAGCTTAATTAGCTACACCAAAACTTGACTCATAAAACAATGACAAAATATTCTCTAGGAAATTTTCGAAAACAGACATTTTGTCCCAGCTCTATTCACTTTATTTATATTTTAATTCTTCTCCCCTAATTACTTTATTTCTTAAAAATTTTGTGTCCAATATATAATAAACAGGCTACTTTACCCTCACAAATGCAAAAATTACTATGTGGGGGTGTCTAAGATGTTAAAAAAATGAGAAAAGTGCCAATAAAAAATTAAAAGTACACTTTATTACTATTTTATTAAATCTGTAAAAATAAAAGGGGGATTTTCTGCACGCAAATATTTTAAGCAAAAAATAATTCTCGGTCAGTTCTTCTCTTTTAAAACTAATAAAAAAAGAAAATTTGTTATTAGCCAGTAAATATATTTATTTTTAGTAATTGCCAAGATGAATTGAGGTGTTAATTCCTTTCTTCCCTCTCTTCCCTTCCTTTCCTTTTAAATATCCCCGCGCAGGAAAGAACGTATTTTTAGACGTTAAAAAGGCTACTATTATTATCTGGCCTTTTGCAATTTTTTGCCTTTCACAGATATTTCCTTTCGTTTATATTCTTTCTGGATTTATTAAATAGAAATATTTTTAATGAAAATATATTTAAATTAAATTTTTGGAATTTAAAAATATTTTTAGAAAAATTTAGTATTCAAAAAATTGCCGGAATTATAATACGACTTTTGAAATAAATTAGAAGATTTCAAATATCAACTCAGAAGTTTGGTACATATTCATATAATATTAGATCACTTTCCTAAATTTTTGAAATACCAAAATTTATCCTCATGTCATTAACCGTGTTTCATTACTTAAATGATGGCAGAGTGTTTCGAAATTAGACTTTTGATTTCACAGCTTTTTTTATTTAGAAACGGCTTAGGATAGTATGTACATAGAGATGTTTAGTGTGTTGACAAAATTTTTTTTATTGTGAAGTTAACTATACGTGAGAGCTAATAATTAATTTAGATGAAATCTAAAGCATTCTCTTTAATAAGGGCAACATAAAGCATAATATTAATTGCTTTTTTTTTCATTTTGGGAACCGATTCCAAAGCTTCCCATTTACAAACTACTCAATAGTTGGCTAATCCAAAAAATGTTTTAGTCATCATTATATCCTTCCAATTGACTGTTTTATATTAAAAATAAAACAAAAATAATAGAGAAATTTACTAAAAACAATAAAAAAGGGCAATAAAATGTCTATTAAAAACAACAATTACAACAACAATAAATTCAATTCTCCCCAACAAAAATCAACAAAAAATTATTTCCAACAACCTCCCCCATATTATTTATTTAATAAACAAAAAATTAATTTAAAAATAAAAAACACCAACAATTTACAAAATAAAAATTCAATTTTAATTTCAAAAAATATTTTTCCGCAGCAATTTTTGGCGTTATGTTTACCGTTATTATTTTCTCTTTTTGTTTTGGCTTTATTAATTGGGGCTATTGTTTATTTACAATTATTAAATTCTACAAAAATAAATTCGGTTTTTTTGAAGGAGGAAATTGAAATAAACAAAGGGAAAGATTTTATATTTGATGAGAAACAGTTGAAAAGAATGAGGAGACAGACAATACCGGCAGATAATGTTAGGGTAGGTCTGGAAAAAAACATTTTTAAAGACAAAAATGGGTTGGAATTAGTGGTGGATCCCTTGTTCAAATGAGAGAACTTGTGGGAAAAGTTATTCTGAGGCGAAATAGCGGAACAAAAAATTGAAGCTTGGTTATTGTTTAGAGAGAATAGCCCTTCCAATAGAAGAATAAAAGTTATAAGCTGCATAAATTGGAGATTTCAAGAACAGTAAGAGGTTAGCTAAGAGGCTGACAACGGGCAAGTATCAAATCTGTGGCCTCCTTGTGTTAGTATTTTTAGGCTCTCCGGAAAAAGCATTTTTCATTAAAAACACCACCTAAGTGTTTTAAATTCTAGTCAATTATCCTTACATTACAAAGATTTGTTTGATATCATATAGGTAATTGTTAGGATATCTAACGATATATTAGATACCTAATTTTAATTTTTATATTTATTTGTAGATATATGCAATAAATTCAAATGTTTCTGTTGCTGATAGAATCCAAGTAAATTAAAAAATATTTAAATTTATTAAATATTTAAAAGGTTCTCTCAGGCGAGTCCCGCATTCAGTTAATTGAACCCCATTTAAATGCAACTATTTGGTCAAATGCTTCTTTGCTACAAATGGCTCCTAACGGGCGGGAAGTTGCTTTAAGTGCCTCTAGGGTAAATTTGAACTTTTTAAAACTAAAGTTAAAAATGAGCATTTGCAGACAAATTAATAGTATAGCAAGAAATGTTAGCCTAAGGATTTTAGGTCTTGGAAAATATCCCTAAATAATTATCCGATAATTTTTTTATTTTAAATAGGGTTGTCGGCGACCGGTTATTAACCGGTACCCTCGGTTTTCGGTTATCGCCGCTTTTCGACCCCCGGTTTTCGGTTCCGGTTAATTCGCCAAAAACACCGCCTAACAGTTCCGGTTCGGTTAACTGTCAGCCAACAGCCCTAATTTTAAAAATAAAAATATTTGCTATTTAGCAGAAAGTCCGCAAATATCCTTCCCTATAAAAACGCGCACACTTTTCATGCCTCTAATTTATTAATATACATATGTATATTTTATCACAAATTATTATACAAATTTTATCAAATTTTCATCATTTCTTTTAAACCTTCTTCGAAACAGAACTTGAACTACTACTTATTATCTCACGATTAGAATTAAGTGTTTTCTTCTTTTCTTTTTCCCCAACAGATCCCCTTCCGTATTTGCTTCGAGAACTTCCAAAAGAGGGTAAACTTCTTTTACTTTTAGAATTCCCAATTGAAATATTTGTTGAAAATTCCCTTGATTTATCTCGAGCTTTCTCAGCCTTGATTTTATCATTTTCTAAGAACAAAAAAGCAATGCCAATTAACACCAAAATCCTATAATTTAAAAATAAGTAGATTGGGAACAGAAAATTTGCTTTTCTTGTGGACAGATATTTGCGGACAAATTTTTGCGGACATCTTTTGCGGACTTTCTAAAGTTATTTTTTATGATTTACTACATGCAAAAAAATGACAAAATATTGTCCGCAAGAATAGTCCGCAAAAATAGTCCGCAAGAATGCCCTAATGAAAAGCAGCTTTTTAGCTCTAATAATTAACAGAAGACTCTTACACTATAGTAACACCAATAATAATAAGTATAATTGTTGAGGTTTTGATCCCCGAATCTTCTTCACCCATAAAATTTTCTTTTTTAATTTTTGAATTGTCGCCTGTTTTGTTTTCATTATTTTCTTCTGTACTAACAAGCATTTTGAAGTTTTCTTTATCCTGAAATTTAAAGAAATATTTTAAAGGAATCTTTGTTTCCCTTACAAATTCAATAAACATTTTGTCGCATTTTTGAAATTTTTCATCGTCAGCACAAATTCCCTCATTAGAATCACATGAAGTCCAAAATTTTTGAATGCTTTTTCTCATTGCAGTTAACGGTAAAATGTGAAAAGTAAAAAGAAATTTAAAGCCAATTTCTGAGTAAGTCTTCTTGTATGTCTCATCCACAATTTCCCACTCTTCCGGCTTTCGAATATTTTCCTTTTTGCTGCAAGACAAGGCAAGTTTTGAATTACAATCTTCAATTCCAAAAAGGTTTTCGTTGAGTAACAAATCAAAAGATGTTTCTACTGTAGAATGCCTCTCGTTACTAAGACATGGTTCTGTTGCTCCGTCCCCAACTGAAAATATCGGGGGTTTTTAAAGAAGAAAAAATATTAGAGATTGGATCTGAGATTCTCAACAAGGCTGTGCGTCATGGCGTTTTGGCGTCCATTTTTGGCCGATTTTTGGCGTTTTGCAACTTGCGTGATTTTTAAAATTTGAAAATTGGCGTTTGGCGCGCGCGCGAAAATTTTGGCGCACAGCCCCGGTTCTGAATCAATCACTAGTCCAGTCTCTAGAAAATATTCCTTACTTAAAAGAACAAAGTTAGACACGTAATCCTTTGTTCTCGCCCAAGCAACAGAATAATCAGCCACCTTCAAGCATTTACTGTCAGTCATTTGGCACACTTTTAAATTTTCGCAATAATCGTTTATACCGTAATTTGGTTCTTTTTTTAAATTGTCAAATTCTTCTTTTTTTAGACTGAAAGAGAAAGGCAACCTGTGAAAATAAAATATTTTTTTTTGGGAAGAAATAATTTTCCCTCACATATTATCGGCAACTGCTGTATGATTTTCCATTTGTGATTTTACAATTTTTCCTGTATCTCCCAAACATTCGGTTAGACCGCTTTTGTGCCAAATACCAAATTTCAGAGAAAGCTGGCCAACGTTTGTTGTTACCAAATCTATTGAACATCCTTCTTTTGTTGTAGCTGAATTTTTTTGGTACCAGATTTTACTGAAAAAAGAGGGAGGCTTTATCATTTTTAATTATTTCCTTACATATTTCCTTCAACCATTTCAACATCACATGAGCCCTCCAATTCTTTATACAGCTTAAGATCATCTGGATTTTCGGCAATCTTTGTATTTCCCCTCACTTTTTCAATTGTGTTGTTGATCAGCCAATGTCCTCCATGCCCAACTAAATCACAATTGACCACCATGCATTCAACAAACAACAGAAATATAGAGACAGGAACCAAATTTTGGTTGTAACGAAACAGCATCCTCTTGAAATTTGAAATTGTTGTTTACTTTGTTGTCGATTTATGATTGCGATTTGTTTAATTTTTTTAATGAGTCCTTTTATACTCTTCCAGTTATGGGTATGGCTCCGGAAGCTAAGATTTTAGAAACCCTGAGCCGGAACTAACAAATTCCCAATAGCTTTTCCTTAAGTTATTTTAGAATAATTTTTATTTTTTCAGTCTATTTACTGAAATTTTTTTTGACAATTTTATTACATACAAATATACACCAATGAAATGAGAACCCAAAACACAAAACTAACATCAAAGCAAATATACACAAATATATTTAAAATATACATCATCACTATTAATATTATATTATCTTCATTACTTTCACCTTTCTTCGAAACTTTTAGTTTTTAGTCCCAGTCACCCCCGAGGCAGAACCCAGCGTTTTCTTCTTTTCTAGGTCTCCAACATTTCCCCTTCCAAATTTAGTTTGAGGACTGCCAAAAGTTGCCGAAGTCTTTTTATTCGAAGAAGTTCCATCTGAAGTTCCTCCAATATTTGTTGACATTTCTTTCTTTTTATCCACAGCTACTTCAACCTTTTCTTTGGTAGCTTTTTGTATGAAGTAATATACTAAGCCAATGATCACCAACATCCTGTAAATTAATTTTGGTTAAAAGACTACTGTAAAATTATATTTGGCAAAAGAAAGGGAAGTATTCCCGAAGGGTTTCCCGCACTCTTCGTCGGGAATCCGAATACTTCTTAAAGGATTTAGGATCCCGATTTCCTCGTCAGGAATCCCAATCATGAATCCAGATTTTTTAAAAGTAAGGGAATCAGCAAGAAAAGCCAGTTTGAAAGAAAAGCCAGGGTTGAAAATTAAAACGGCATGTCCTTATATTAGAATAAATACGGCATTCCGGAGGAGATTCCGGAGGGGATTCGGTAACCCTAATTATCAATCCAGATTTCTTAAACATAAGGGAATCCCGATCAGCAAGAAAAGCCAGTTTTCTTCATATTTTAAAGCCTTACAATACAATAACCACAATAATGATCAGAATGACTATAGAGCTTTTCATCCCCGAAGCTTCTGTAGTAATTGTTTTAGTAGGTTCTGTAGTTGTTCCTGTTGTCTCTTGAATTGTTGTTAAATTACCAACTTCTTTATCTCCAGTTTTTTCTTCTTTTTTACCATTTGGAACAAGCATTTTGATGTTTTCTTTGTCCTAAAATTTAAAATTTTGTTCATAAAGGATCATTTCTCTTACAAATTCAATAAACATTCTGTCGCATCTTTGAAATTTTGCATCATCCATAAGAAATTCTTTTATTTTAGAATTTTTAGCACAAATTTGCAAAACTTCTCGCAAGTTTTTTCTCGCTGCATTTAGAGGTAAAAGATGAAAAGTAAAGAGGCTTTTGAATCCATGGTTATTGAAATCCTCATCCTTAATTTCCCAAATTTCTGGCATTCGAAGATTTTCTCTCTTTTTGCAAGACAAAGCAGATTTTGAAGCACAATGTTTAATTTCAAAAATATTTTCATTGAAAACCAAATCCAAAGATGTTTGTATGGCATTATTTTTTTCATCAAAAGAATTTTGGTTGTTTAATTCTTCGATGGCTTAAAAATTAGCAAATTTTTATTAAAATAAATTTTTATTACTTATAATTAAGTATAACACGTTTGCTTTATTTTTAACATGTGGAATAATATATTTAGCTCCTTTCAAGCAGTCACTTTGCTTAAGATAGCAGAGTGTCACATCTTCGCATTTATCGTCTGTTTCGAAAATTTTTTTGATATTCTCGAACTCTGTATTATTCAGACTGATGGAGAAAGGCAATCTAGAATTGAATAAAAATAAATTTTTTGACTGATAACTCTCACATATTTTCGGGTAAACATTCAGCCAGTTTGCCATTTTTGTGCCAAATACCAAATCTCAAAGGAAGCTGATCAACGTTTTTTGTTACCAAATCTATTGAACATCCTTTATTTGCTGTAGGTGTATTTTTCTGGTACCAGATTTTACTGAAAAAAGAAGGAAGCTTTATCATTTTTAAAATGCTTCCTTACATATTTCCTTCAACCATTTCAACATCACAAGAGCCCTTCAATTCTTTATACAGCTTAAGATCATCTGGATTTTCGGCAATCTTTGTATTTCCCTTCAATTTTACAATTTGGTTGTTGATCAGCCAATGTCCTCCATGTCCAACTAAATTACAATTGACTACACTACATCCAACAAACAACAGAAAAATTGAGACGGGAACCATCAAAGAAATATTTGAAGAATTTTGGTTGTAACGAAACAGCATCCTCTTGTAATTTGAAATTGTTGATTTTGAAGACTACTTTGTTGTCGATTTATGTTTGCGATTTGTTTAACTTTCTTACTGAGTCCTTTTATACTCTTTTCCAGTATGGCTTCGGGAGCTAAGATTTTAGAAACCCTGAGCCGGAGCTAACAAATGCCCAATACCAGCACTGCTCTTTTCTTAAGTTATTTTAGAATAATTTTTATTTTTATAGTCTATTTACTGAAATTTTTTTGACAATTTTATTACATACAAATATATACACCAACGAGATGAAAACCCAAAACACATAACTAAAATCAAAGCAAATATACACAAATATATTTAAAATATACATCATTATCACAATTAATATTTATTTTATCTTCATTACTTTCATCGTTTCTTTCTTCGAAACTTTTAGTTTTTAGTCCCAGTCACCCCCGAGGCAGAACCAAGCGTTTTCTTCTTTTCTTGGTCTCCAACATTTCCCCTTCCAAACAGGGTTGCGTCGTAATTACGAATTACGATTACGAATTACGAATTACGGCGTTTTTTCAGTTACGAATTACGAATTACGATTACGAAAATTTTTTTTAAATTACGAATTACGAATTACGATTACGAAAATATAGGCAAAAATTACGAATTACGAAAATAATTTTGCCAAAAAATTTTAGAATAAAAAGGAGAAGAAATATTTATTTTTTCTCTCCCCTTAGTTGTGTTTATCAGTGGTTGAGTGGGTTAAAAGTCAAGCTTCACTCATTTAATATTTTGTGGTGTTTGGTTCGAATCCAAGTGTGGGAAATAAAAGTTAGACAACCTATTTTTTCAAAAATAAACGTTTTTAAATTTGATTTTGATTTTAGGTTTGTAAATTTATATTTTTAATATCTTAAAATTGAAAAAAACTTAAAAATTTTTAATCTAGTCATGAATTTTCTGAAAATTTTTCGCCTGCGGCGCTGAAAATATAAGAGTGTTGGCTCGGGATTAAGTGAGAATGATTTGACATGATATCAAACTTAATCTGGGACGATGATTCCTCATGATTGATTAAAGAGATATCGGAGGATTATTAGGATTAAGAGGGATATCAGGGAATTAATTGGGATTTGAATAATATCAGAGAAATAAGAAGACTTGGAGAGATTAATGGGAGAAACAGCAATTATTAATAGATATTTGATTTTTAAAATTAATTTAAATATTTTTAAAAAATTACGAATTACGATTACGAATTACGAATTACGGCATTTTTTCAGTTACGAATTACGAATTACGATTACGAAAAAAATTTTTTAATTACGAATTACGAATTACGATTACGAAAATTTTTTTAAAATTACGAATTACGAATTACGATTACGAAAAAATTTTTTAAATTACGACGCAACTCTGCTTCCAAATTTAGTTTGAGGACTGCCAAAAGTTGCCGAAGTCTTTTTATCCGTAGAAGTTTCTCCAATATTTGTTGACATTTCTTTCTTTTTATCCACAGCTATTTCAACCTTTTCTTCGGTAGCTTTTTGTATAAAGTAATATACTAGGTTACAGTACTTCAAAAAATATTTTGACCCCCTTAGGGGTTATATAAAAAAATTTTTTTAGGCCCTCCAGAAAGCCGACAAAATTTGCTACAAAAAACATTTGGTCCCATCCTTGAGAAAAATCATATCATTGAGAAGCTACCTGTTAAAAGAGCAGATAAATAAATTCTCTCAAATTACCCCATAAATTGTCATTATTTCTAACATTTAAATTTAACCGATGAGTCCTCAATTGGAGAATTTTTCTCAAGGATGGGACCAAATGTTTTTTGTAGCAAATTTTGTCGGCTTTCTGGAGGGCCTAAAAAAATTTTTTTATATAACCCCTAAGGGGGTCAAAATATTTTTTGAAGTACTGTAACCCGGTTTTCCGTTGATTTTGGGGTTTTTATATCTCAATGAAGAAAGGAGTTTTAAACTTCGTTCTTTTTGCTTTTCTACTCCATATTGATGGAAATGTTCACAGGAATTTTTTCAGAATTTTTGAAAAAATTATAGCATAGAAAATAAGGATTGTAATCTTGTTCTTATATTTTCTTAACACACCATTTTTAGAAAAAAAATCATAAAAATTTTATTTTTCACCAAAACTCTCTTAAACTCTCAAAATCCTAATATTTTCAGAACATCTATTTAAAAAAAAAATTTTGTTACGATTGAACATAGGAAAGATGAGAAACACCAAAAAAATGCTTGTTCTTATAATTTCTTAACGGACTTTATAGAGCTTTTCATCCCCGAAACTTCTGTAGTAATTGTTTTAGTAGGTTTTGTAGTTGTTCCTGTTGTCTCTTGAATTGTTGTTAAATTACCAACGTCGGTGACTTCATTTTTGTCTTCTTTTTTAGCGTCTGGAACAAGCATTTTGATGTTTTCTTTGTCCTAAAATTTTAAATTTTGTTCATAAAGGATCAATTTCTCTTACAAATTCAATAAACATTTTGTCACATCTTTGAAATTTTGCCTCATCCAAAGGAAGTTTTGATGCTTCCCTTTCATTAGACTCATCACTACATCCTTTTAAAACTTTTTGTAAGGTTCTTCTCGCAACATTTAGAGGTAAAAGATGGAAAGTAAAGAGGCTTTTGAATCCATTGTTTTTGTAATTCTCATCCGTAATCTCCCACACTTCTGGTATTCGAATATTTTCGTTTTTTTCGCAAGTTAAAACAGATTTTGAAGTACAATCTTTAATAACAAGATTTCCATTTAAGAAGCAAATCCAAGGATGTCTGTACAGTAATTAGCTTTTCGTTTGTAGGTGGTTTTGAGTTCAGAACTTAAATTTTTTTGATTTTTAGACCTATTAAAATAAATTTTTATTACCCATGAGAATGTAGTTTAACACGTTTCCTTCAGTTTTAATAGAAGAGACAAAATAATTAGCTAATTTCAAGCAGTCACTTGGTAAAGACGAACAGAGTTTCAAATTTTTGCATTCATTGCTTGTATCTAAAATTGGTTCGTCTTTGATATTGTCTAATTCTTTATCCTTCAGACTGGTGGAGAAAGGCAATCTAGATGTAATTAAGTAATAGGAAATTTTTTAAGAAAATATTTCTCACATATTTTCGGGTAAACATTCAGCTATGCTGCCATTTTTGTGCCAAATACCAAATCTCAAAGGAAGCTGACCAACATTTTTTGTTACCAAATCTATTGAACATCCTTTATTTGCTGTAGGTTTATTTTTTTCGTACCAGATTTTACTGAAAAGGAGGGAAATTTTATAATGTATAAAATTTTCCTTACATATTTCCTTCCACCATCTCAACATCGCAAGAACCCTCCAATTTTTTATACAGTTTAAGATCATCTGGATTCTCGGCAATCTTTGTATTTCCATTCAATTTTACAATTTTGTTGTTGATCAGCCAATGTCCTCCATGCCCAACTAAATTACAATTGACTACACTACATCCAACAAACAATAGTAACATAGAGACAGGAACCATCAAAGAAACATTTGAAGAATTTTGGTTGTAACGAAACAGCATCCTCTTGTAATTTGAAATTGTTGATTTTGAAGACTACTTTGTTGCCAGAATTTTATTTTATAGAAATGCGAACTTTTGCTTTTATACTCTTAATATTTTCTTTATTCTCTTTTTAAGTTTGCCTTTCTAATTTTATAGTTAACTTATTAATATGAATTTTAAACAAAAATGAACCCTCATTTATCAGTAACCGAAATTTTTATATTTTATTACTATGTATGTCCTTATTATCATTATGTGCCGTTGACCATTTCTAATTCTTCTTAGAATCGAGAAATAAAAGGAAAAGATATCAGCTAAGTTTTTCGAATTTCACTTTATTTTTCTTACAGTAAATATCACAATTGAATTCCGAAAACTAGTAAAAACTTAAATAAATTATTTAGGCAATTTCTTTAAATGTCGAATTATCTGGAGGGGCTCGTGTAGAAGGAATTGGAGATAATTTACAATTAAACGAAAGTAATCGAATTTATGATAATCAAACAGAAATTGATGATGATAATACTTGGCGTGCACATATGGCTGCTGAATTAGCTGGAGATAAAGTTAATTTAAGTTGGTTGGATGCTAATGAGACGTTAAAAATTAGAGGTATTTAAAAATAAAAAGGGGAAG